TGAATGATAAGAAGAGAAAACAAAAAGGTGATGAGTGATGAAGGAAAACGAGAAAGGATTTTTAAGGGTATTTGTTTATTAGTATTCGGACCGTATTTATCATTATTTTTTAAGATTGAGAGGATTATTGAGAAAGATTAGAGATAATTTTCCAATGATCCATAAATTATAATCTATCATATGTTATTTTTATTAGTAAAACGACGAATGATGTTTTCTAAATTATTTTTCTGAACAACGATTGCAAGTAAAAATGCAAAACGATATTAAAAATTAATAAATAAATTTATCTACTTCAGTATTCGATCGAAATACTCACTAGGATCGAAAATTTGAGAATAATGCAATAAAAGTGAGAGAAAATTATATTATATATAAAGAAAAATAGTTACTATTTTTTAAAAAAATATGACTATTATCTATGTTATATTAAACATCTTACCAGGATAATTCTTCGTAAGATGCTTGATGTAACAAAGAAGATAATTACTCTTTTAAAGAGATAATTTTTGTTTTTTTTATATTATACTTTATTTGGAAAAAATTTTTTTAATATTTTGGAACAACTTTTATTTTATTATTTTATATGAATCTTTTTTTTATATATTATTTTCACAGTTTTATTTTTTTTACATTTTGATTAAAATTTTTTTCTTATATATATATATAAATATATATATAAAATATATGAAAAAAAATATCTTGATCGTTGTGTGATTAAACGACATTCTATTACAAAGTAACAGTATACAATACTATTGTGACCAGAGTCGTAAAAATGTTTAACTATTTATATAAATTAACAATATTGTCTCCTGTTATTTAATACGTATGGAGACTAAAATGCAATTTTGAATTAAGAAGTACCTACGTGTGCATGATCGTTGCGGTTAAAGAGTTTGTTTTTATGAGTGTATGTAATCAAAAAGAAATGCGAATGACACGAATAAATTGTAAGTTATCCGGATAAATGCTACAAACCAAAAAAGAGATAACAATTAATACAAAATAACACAAAAAGAAAAAGTTGGAAAGTATTAAAAGTGAGTGAGATCGTATTTTAACGATACAATACATTATCAAACAAATTCAAAATCATTGTAATCATATTTTTAACATATCATACTTCGAAAACATTCTTTCAATTTTACATTACTATATTTCTGGTACAAGCATGCGTAATTGAACAAAACTTATTGCCATTATTATTACGTCCATGGTAATTATCAATATTATTCTTATCATTTCATTTTTTGTATTAACAATTATGATTAGTATGAATATTGTTATTATTGTCACTGTAATAATAAACTTATCATATTTGTTAATACAAAAATTTCATCAATATCAACATTTATAAAAAAAACAATACAAAACTTCATCTAATATTTATAGGACATAAAATATGATTTTACACAATAATGTAAAAATCTAATATGTGTTTTCAAGAAAAAAATTACTGTCGCATTCGATTTTAGTTTAATATTAATAGAACTGAAATAAGATATTAGTTACATTTGTACAATATAAGACTGAGCTAAGACTGATTTAACACAATAACAGATTTTGTTCCTCGTTTATTTTTACACCGACTGAGTTGAATGATTTGTATTTGAATGCCTATTTTAATATTATGTTCACAATATAATTGAAAAATTTTATATATTCAGTAATAATTTTATTGGCTTAATATTTATGTAATATGCAAAACTTTTTATTGTTTGACATATTTATTTTCTTTCTTTTAATAAAGTGATATATTAAAAAAATATATTTATTAGTTTAATATAATACTTTATACTTTGATAATCAATCAATCAATCAATCACAATATAAATTATTTTAAGAACTAGGTAGAAACATCTTCAAAAAAATAATTAAAAATTTAAAAAAAAGGTAGTAAATTTCTTAAAAGAAAACTATTTTGGCTATTATTATGCTAAACATAATAACAACAAATAATAAATCAGTTTTAAAACTTATTGAAGAAGTTTCTACATTTGAGAAGTGATTTATCGAAAAAGTTTTTACAGAAAGTAATTTCTTCATATTGCAATGTATAGCATTATGATATGTGGCAATAATGTTAATCGTGTCATAAAACGATTTTATTAATAAAATATGCTTGTATGACACATTTTTATCGCAAAGCTATGTGTATAGATAAAGATTAAGTTAAGTTTTGAATATGTATCTCCCACTCAATTATCATATTATAAAATATGAATCAAACAGTAGTAAATCATATATGTATTTTTGGTTAAATATTTCTCAAAAGAATTTAGCTTATTGTATAAGAGCAGAGCAGGTATTTAATAGCTTATATAAAACAGAGCAGACATTAAATGTTTGCATTTCAGAAGCTCATATAAATTTATTTACTTTTGTATAAGATATTGGATTGATGCAAAGGTTTTGTTATAATTTTTTATATTGCAATTAATTGATGCTATAATGAATTCAATATTGTATATATTTATATTGTCTATTATTTCTATATATAAAATTATATTCGATAAACAGATATATATAATATAATATATTATATATATATATAACATATTGCAGGTACATGTATTAAATCAAAAGTTAAAAGTACAACAAAACTCATATATAAGATAATTTAGAATACTATGTTATATTCAGAAAATAAGAAATGCTGTCATAAAAATGAATTGATTCTTGCTATTTTTTAATGTTTTTGACTTTTTGTCGTAACTTTCAATGTAAATATTGTCAGCTCTTATGCGATAAGATGAAGTTAACGTATTTGCAAAGCAAATGCATCTGAGAAATATTATTATATGAACATATTTAAAAAATGAATAATCAAACAAGATAAATTTATTATGAATCAAATTGATCTAATTTTTTTTTATAAAATAAATAACAATATATATATATGTATTATGTAAGAAATTTTTCTAAGAAATGTTTCTAAGCAAATAAAAAATGTTTCTAAATAATTTATTTTTACTTTTTATTATATATAATAAAAAAATAATAAATAGTTATTAAAAAGAAACAATGCTAATAAAGATTTCTAATTTATAAAAAATTTTTTATATGCATATATGTCTTATTACTAATTTTATTAATTTTATAATTATTATTAATTATAGAAATCTTAATCGTTCGTGATAAATTTATCTTGTTTTTTTAATTTTGATTATTCATTTTCATTAACTATATGTTATATATAATTATTAAATATTATGTATAAATTTTTATTTTCTTTTTAGCATAGCTTTTATGGCTTACAAACTAAAATATATTAATTCTACTATAATTACAATTTTTCTTCAATACATTGTATTGAAGACTATTGTCTTTATATTTATACAAATTTGACATTGAATAAAATATAAATATTATCTAAATGAGAAATTTGATTTAATCTCAAAACATATTTGTAAATTATATTTAATTGTTTCTAATACATTAAATATCCAAAAAATTTGATATATTTTAATTTATAAATTATGATGCATTGTAATACATGGAAAACTATGCTAAGAAAGAAATGATTTGATTGAGATAGGAAGATTTGTTAAAAATTATTCTTTTAACAATTAATCTTTTTATCATAAAAATATAATATGCGACCTTAGTTATTTCAAAAATGTATACGTTTTGCGTAATATGTATATAAATATTTTTAATTTTTCTTATATGTCATATCTATAATGTTAATATTTTATTTCATATTAATAAAAATGGTTTTGTTTTAAATAAGAGAAACAATTTTGCTATCTAAGTGATGTAGCAAAAATATTTATAATATGGTACAAAGTATTGTTTGAAAACTCTGATAAATATCAATGGAATGCAAAGACGCACGTGTGAAACATGTGATTTAAATATTAAGTGAAATATTTTTTTCGAAGTTTTGTAAAGTATTGGTAAACATAAATTTCAAATAGATTAGATTTCATGGACGTGTTAATACGTGATTGTAATCATATTATTTTACAACCAAAAATATTATTAAATTTTTGAATTTTAATGCGACTTGTTAAAATTATTTTTTTACCAATTCAATTATTCAATTACACATTAATATTTTTAAACAATATTTTTTTAAATCTTTCCTAAATATTATTCTAATAATTTTTCTTTATTCAAGATTATTTACGAAATATAGGATATTAGGACGTAATGTAAGATATAATTTTAAAGAATGTTTCTAAATCTAATCTTTGTAAAAAATATCTGTTTAAATTTTATTAAATTACTGTGTTTTCTTTAAATTACATTTTTTTTTAATTGAATTTTAGAAATCAGTAATATTCACATGTGTGTTTTGAAATTTCTTTTGTAATTACATGTAAATTATATATGTAAACACAATCTTCAATTGTTTGTATACTATTACAATAACCGTAAAAATTAAAAATAAGAAATGTCAATTTAAAAATCTCAGAAATATAAAAAATATATAAAAATATGTCATAATAAAAAGGTTAAGAATTAAAAAAATAAATTAAATTAAAATAAATTAATTTAATAAATTATATTTAAATAAATAGTAATAAATTAAAAATAATAATAAAAAGTTAAGAATTAAAAGTTAAGAAAGTTAATACGTAAAAAAAAGTCAATCGATAAAATATATTTAATAAAATAAATTCTTATATTGTTTTATCTTCAATGTATAACCTTCTATTTATATTTTATTTCATAGTTTTAACTGAAAATCAAAAAAGTAAGTACAAATATGATACTTTTAATGATTGCAAATATATCTTTCCTTATTATTATTTCTTTATACAAGTAATATCTTTATTTAAAGATTTTCAAAAAGACTGAAAAAAATTATTAATAAATTGCTTGTTATAACTGTAACCGTTAAATTGTACTTATATGAATTTTTTTATAACTATTAAATATTGTGAATATATTAAACAATATCAATGAATTGATATATTTATTAATTTTTCCTTATAGCACGTAATGCGACCCTAACTGATTTGATGAAATGTAAATTAACACAAAAGGGAATGGAATATAGAGGTTCAATAGCTAAAACTGCTGGTGATATTCGGTGTCAATCTTGGTTTATACAAGATCCGGTACACGAGGTGATTTGATCTATTTTTTAATTTCTTAACTTCGTTCGAATTTTTATAAATTAAAAATAATTATCTTACATTAATCTTTCTTTTGAACTCTTCATTTTTATTAGATTATATATATATATATATTTTCTTTTGTTAATATCTAATATCAGGTTAGCAAAGATATAACTGACAACGATTTCCCCGAAAAATCAATGAAAACGGCAAAAAATTACTGTAGAAATCCAACAGGAGATAATAGAGGTCCATGGTGTTATACCTTAGAACCTACGCTTATAGATGACGAATGCGATGTGCCTCTTTGTAATTTTGGAGGTAATGTACCTAAATCATAAATTCTCTTTTGCCCTGTCAATGCTTGAAAATTTTCGTTGCCCATTTTATCTTGAGAGTTTAAACGAAAACGAAAGACTAGTTTTAAATCGAAGTATAAGGTAATAATATTATTTTTTACAATAAATGATCAAAAAATTTCAAAAAACGACGAGCATTTTACCATTTAAAAATTTTTTTAACCAAACAATCATATCTATTATTCCGAATATTAGTAATTCCATCGAGAGAGAGAAAAAAAAGAAGTATAAAATTTAAAATACCTTGTATAAATGATGTATTATTATGATGATACCCGTCAATCTTGTATAACTGTAATGTAGACAACTGGAAACAATTTAATCGAATATTAACAAATTTTAGAAAAAAAGAAATTTAATACAATATACATTATTTAAGACAAACTTCGTGTTTTATAGGCGATATGGACGATTTCTTCGCCGCGATATAAATGTGGTTCCCATTTTATAGTTGTTTATCGATGGCATCAGACATGCGCGGATATTATTCTCGAATAGATTTGAATTCGTTGCGGTTAATTCTTATTTTCGATAATAAATATAATAATAATAAACAACAACCTTGATTCTCAATATTCTAACAGTCAAAACATAAGTTTAAATTTCGTTTATCTTTGTACAATTTCGATGCATCCGTAAGGTATAAAGGGCAGGTAACTCTTGAAGGCAAGAACATAGCTGAAAACGGAAAAATCGTCAATAGAAAGATTTTATTGTTACAACGTGATGGTTGGAAATTATCTATACTTCAGGACGAAACTATAAGACAGTCTGATGATTTTCAGTATTCCTCTGAGACTGAAACGTACAATGTACGTACGAATTTAGTTTATCTTTTAAACTTAGATAATTTTTGTGACTACATTCAGATTTATATGAAAATATATGAAAATACGTAAAATGTATTCTATTCTCAAATATCAAAAATTCATTACGATATGTTTCGTAGCATGCATTTTTCACATAAAAATGTTAAATTTTAAAAAAATATAATATTTTTTTCTATATATAAATATGAGCACGTTGTATCAATTTAGAGAAACAATTTAAAGTAAAAATTATAAGGTGTTTATAATTTCGTCACGGAGAGTAAAGTTTTTAAAAAATGAAATGAACCAGACTAGTAACTTTGCTAATTTTCGAAACAATATTATTTTTAATATTATAGAAAGAGTTTTAATTTTAGTTTTAAATCGCATTTCTTTTAAATGTTTCATTTTATAAATAATAGAGGATTTTTCTTATGTGTATTTATTTATAAACGAACAGAATGTAGACAATCAGGACCAGGAGCTGATTATGGAGGAACCAAAGAAATCACTAGAACAAGAAGTAAATGTAAAACATGGCATAAACGACTTCAACTTAAAACTGGAGAAGTAAGAGAATTATTAATTTTCTTAATCTGATGAGTTTTGAAATTTGGAATTTGACAAAAACAACAAAAATTTTTTTCTCATGAAATATTTTAAAAATTAAATAATAAAATGTTAATTCTAATAATAATAGCATATATAAATATACATATAAAAGATTTTTATCAACAATTTAATTTTACATTGTAGGTTGTAAAATTCAAAGAAAACCAGTTTCCTGACAAATCAATTAAAAACGCTGAAAATTTTTGTAGAAATCCTACAGGAGACGTCGGAGGACCATGGTGTTACGTTGATGAAGAAAACTTTGAATACGTTATAAAAGAGTATTGTGATATTTCATTTTGCGATGATAAAGGTTTGATTTTACATTTATTTTATTATTATTATGTTCAATAATCAATTTGAATAAGAATTTTTTGATAAAAATAAAAAAAATATATTTATTAATAAAAATTCATTGTTATATTAGATTGTTTGGCATTTACGAAGAATTCATCTGCATATAATATATTGGCAAAATTACACGCACCTAGCGGTAATATTACATTCTGGATTAAATTATGGAATCCTGATGATGAAAAAATAGTATGTATTTTGTTAAAATTTTGTTTGATACGTTCAGTATAACATGAACGAACGCACTATAGGAATTTTCTAGTTTATGACGTACAGTCATGAATTTTCTTAAAAAATCAAACGTATCATTCAATATAAGTATTATTGTGAGCATAGCCATCTTGGACTTCTTTTTAAAGAAAGAAAATAAAGCAAAAGTAAAAGATGAGATAAATATAAAGAAATATCAAAATTTTACCTACTTTGTATAAGATAAAAACTATTATAAAATTATTTTCAGATATTTTTACTTAAATTCTTAAGATTGTTAACATTTAACTGGATAAAATAATATTTACAGGCAGAAGCTGCACTAATTTTTACTCTTTTACCAGTACCAACTTCTTCAGAAATCATAGCTGAAGAATGGACTGCAGGAGTTGAAATGATGTTTTCAAATTCTGGAAGCCGTCAAACGTTTCCAAAATATGATGTAAGTATAACAATTTTTTAATATTTCTGATTATTATTCATCGATTCTTCGATCGTTTAAGTATACGAATGTGTAATTAATATTTTATATTAATTGATCAGATTTTCAATATTTCTCCAGATAAAAATGAAAATAATTTTTCAAACTTAGTAAAATAATAATTAAACGTATTATATAGAAGTATTTTATTAGGATGTGTTTTATATTAGGAAGAAGAAATTTTCGAAAGTAGCCCGGAAATATTAATTGGAACAAGATGGACGGGAATATGGGTAACTTGGGGAGGTGGTTTTATTTCCGCTGGTATCGAAGGAAAATCGAAACCCATAATTATGCAAGAATATAAAAAAAAACATGGAATTACAAGTTTATATCTAGATACATTTCTATATTATGGTGTTCGAGGAACGAATGTTTTATGGAATACACCATTTTGTCAAAAACGTATGTTTTCAATATTTTTTAAATTGTTCAATTTAAATTTAAAGTCTTTTTAGAGTTTGAGAGATATTAAAAAAACGATTTCTTTTCATGAAATTTATTTATTTTTTATATATATGAAAAATATATGAAACATAAAATAAAGAAAACTATTTAAATATTATCAAATTAATAAGAAATATAAAAAGAAATATTAAAAATATAATTAAAAAGAACAATTTAACATTATATATAATAAATTAATTTCGATATATATTTTTTACGAAATTTAATACGAGCACATATAAATTTCAGATTGCGATTTATACATAACTTTTGGAATTGATTTTTCAAAAGTTTGGGCTATGCAAAAACATAACGATACAATTGACGTTCGATTTTTTGCTCGTGCAAGCGAAAATATTCAAATACGTTTATACGAAACACCTGCATTGGAATATCCTTATGTACACGTAAATATTTTTTAATATTTATACTTTATCTTCTTATTTAAATTTTCAATTGAATAATTTTATCAAATGAATAAAAAAATATAAGAATAATTTTTACAATAGAATATAAATTATATTTATGTATGTATATGTATTTTTTATATTATATATGTATTGTATTATGTATGTATTATACATGTATTTTTTATATTCGGATTTATATGGTTATCAATATCGTGTAATCTTTTTTTGCATACATTATAAAACTAAATAAGTGGAATAAATTTATTTTTATATTAAATATTACACATTAGATAACGTTAGGCAAAGAAGTTTCAACACTTATATATCAAGCATCAGAGGAAACTTCGAAACTTTATTTAAAAGAGATCACAACTTCAGATATACTCAATTTTTGGTCATGGAGAGAGTTTACCATCAGGTTTTGTCAAATTTTGTATATATTAAATTTCATTTTTTATATTACAATTCTTATAATGAGGCTTTTTTCCTATAGTATTTTTGGAACGCACTTTCACTTATATTCGCATAAACATAGAGGTGCTATCGAATTAATGTACATGAACGAAAATTTTTTTGCCCATTTGAGATGGTTCAGTATCGGAAGCGAAAATACTATTGCACAATGGACATTATTTTGTTCCCCGGATAGTAATATTTTCTTGCTTAAATTTTATGATTATTTTAAAATATAAATTAATAATAATAATAATAATTTTATATATATATATATATA